CCCCGCCCCGCCCCACCACGCCCCGCCACGCCACGCCAGGCCACGGGACGGTCACCAAGCGGGAGGGAGACGTCCGAGAGAGGCCCTGCGTGTGACTCCCGCAGTGCGAGGAGAGAGAGAGAGACAGAGAGACGCGGGTGCCACCCACGCCACCCCACCCCGGCCTGGCCCGCGGTCCACCGCAGCAGTACAGTTATGTTGTCACGCAATATGCTTCACATGTTGGCGCCACCGCTCGCACGGACGGCTGCTGTTCTACACGGCAAAGTGGCGCCACCACCACCATCACCCTTTAGCCAGTCGACCGCCTCCCCCCATCTCTATAACCCTCTAACTTATTCCCGACCGGCCGACGGCTGCACCGGACACGGACACCCGAGTGTGTGAAAATTAAGCAGTTGTCTGTGTGAGAATGACGTTCGTACACATGGAGGCACAAGTGTGTGAGTTTCTAACGAAAACTCACACCTTTTCTCTCTGATAAGTGCGAAATGGGCATTCACACACTCATACAAGTGTGCGACATTATTCACACACTTGCGTTTCCATGGTGTTTGCAGGTTTTCCCGCCAGGCCAGCCGCCGCGAGCCGCGCGCGTGAGGTCCCCCGACGCCGCGGCGCGACGCGCTGTACGCAGAGCTCGCGGAGCGTGACACGCAGCACCCTCCCCCCTCTATCTCTCTCGCTCTTCCGGTGCCACCCCCCCTCCTCCCTCTCGCGAGTGCAGCCGGACTGGAGGTCCGCGCCGTGCAGCCTCGCTCGCCTGCCCGCGCGCCGGGACGCCGCTGCCGTGGTGGTGCACGGGAGGAAGCGTCCACGTCCGCGCGCAGGGCTCGGTGCGCCGTTTCCTCTCTGTCTCCTCCGTGTCCCTCCCCCGGCCGACCGCCGGCAGCCCCCCTCCTGGTGTCCGAGCGGTCCGAGCGCGGACCTCCGCGGCAGCAGGTGACAGGTGGCGCCACCTTTGGGGCGCGAAGCGGAACTCGCGTCGTGTATGGCGAGTACCGCGGAGTGGGTACCATACCAGAGTGGGGCGGGGGCGTCGGGGTACAGAGGGGAGGTGGGGGAGGAGGAGGGTGCCAAAGTAGGCCATGCTCGGCCAAAGCCGATGACGGGGCGCAGAGTGTGTGGACAGGCGAGGAAGTTGGAAAATAATTGGGCGGGTGTATTCTATCTGGCCGTCGCAACTCACCCGTGGAATACTCTATCGTACAGTCGGCAGTGTAGTTGTTGGATATGTCCAGTTGCGGGAGCTCTATCTCTGGGTTCACCACCAAAGGGTCCGTCTGGTTCCAGATGAACACGAGGTCGTGCACAGTGTGGGATACTGCAATGGGGGGACACACACAAAAAAAAGCGAGCCTGCATGAGACAGTAAAATGACACTCTGTCGCAAACGAGAACCTTGCGAGAGAAACAGTTTTAAGGAGTTCACTTCGAATGCTTCGTTTACACGATGGGCATTCCTACTTACAGCTTTCTATCGACATTGAGCATATTTGAGTGTCGTGCGGATACGACTCGAACTTCATCGCACAGGAGAGAACTAGCGTGAGTCTGAAACAGACGAGCAGCATCAAATTTTCTGTCATCATTGTCGTTTTGCACAACCTGGTACATGAGTGAGTGGCAGTGCCTGGAGGCGTACTTGGACATGTAGAGCAGAGTCTTGTCGTGGTACAGCCACAGGTAGTGGTTGGGGATGCTCATCTCGTGGAACGTGACCTTCTTGGCGTTCTTGAAGAAGCAGTCCGGACGCCAAATGTCGTGCAGCCACTCCACGTCCAGGATGCGGTACTCCTCGCTCATGTTCTCCGGCAGCCGGAGGCGGGGGTCCCTCCACGACTGGGCGAGGAAGATGTCGGCCACGTAAGTCTGCAAAACAGTCCACAAACGGTTAGTTTTGTTCATTTTTCTTGATTCTTATTTCAACCTGATTTTTTTGGTAATATTTTGAAGCTGATTTTTTCTTGATTTCTTGTGATTTTTGTGACTTTTTGTGATGTTTTGGGAGAGTGTACACTGATTTTTTTTCTCTAGTTAAGTACTGCTCGGGTGTGGTCCAGCGTGGTGCGCACGGCGCTGCCTGTCCTCACCATGGACTCCTCGTTGATGGAGTCGAGGGACAGCACGGTGACGTGGAAGTACACGATGGTCGGCTGGCCGGCCAGCTTGGGTGCGCGGTTCTTGTCGTAGTGCTTCGGGTTGATGGGCAGGATGTCCCGGAGAGAGAGTGCCGTCTCGGGGGCCATGGTGGGCATCAGGTCCTCCTCCCTGCGAAAAGAGTCAACAATAGTGTAAAAAATTTAATTTTTCAAGAAAAATAATTTCAGAATACTTTCAAAAATTATTTTTTTGCAGATTTATATTTTTTCTGAGTAGGTAAAACATGATTACATTCTCCTGGAAAAATCTAAATTTTCCGATTTTTTTCTGACAAATTTACGAATTTTGCTAAGGTGATCTCATTTACTCACGTGATGGGGGGATTGTGCAGCTCGTAGAAGTGGTTGCGACTGCGGTCCCGGTCGCAGAGGCGCGTCACCAGCTGCTCCAGCTGCTTGTGCACGGACATCTGCAGGCGCTGGCCGGGCTGGTGCTGGTGGTGCACCGCGACCTGCGCCAAGGCATTGAATTTCAAATTAGTGCATTGGAGTGGTCGTTTTAGACATTCAGAGACCTATAGAAGAGATGGTCCAGGTCTGATCGAAAATGCTGGTGACGGAGAGACTTGAATGCACGTAGCCGCGATAAAGGAGCTTATGATATCAAATTGATTGTAATTGGTTTGCGAGCATGCCAATATAAACCAGTTCTCGACCAGAATACTGACATTGTAGACTAAAAGGAAGTACAACCAACATTATTATGACGAGAGCACCGTGTACCTCGTGCGACTGCACCTCCCCGTCGGCGGCCGGCGGCCCGATGGGGTCGGGGGGCTCCAGGCCCGGCGGCTCCGGGAGGATGGCGTCGGCGAGGTCGGCGCCCATCATGACGGCGGCGCCGACGCCGGCCGCGGCCGCCACGGTCTCGGGGGCGGCGGCCAGCCAGCGCGAGTCGTACTGCTCGAGCGGCAGCGCGCCCTGCTGCGGCGCGTGCAGGCCGCCGCCGACGCCGTGGTGGTGCTGGGCCGCGTGCGCGTCGGCGCGCTCCCGGTCGGCGCTCTCCTTCTCCTCGGCGAGCCAGGCCAGCACGGGCAGCAGCGAGTCGAGGCGCGAGCAGCGCGCGCCCAGCGCGTGGCAGCGGCGCAGCAGCGGGCCCAGCGCGCCGTGCGCCTGGCTGTGCGAGTGGCCGTGCGGCGGCGCGAACACCTGGAATTGGAATTGAAATTGAAATAATTTTTATTTCAGGACTTCATACAAAAGGGATAAAAAGCCCCTGCGGAGGGACCTGGAATATTTTTACCCCAGGATACAGTTGTCATAGGGTTCGCATTGGACTCCAATGATAGTCCTGGTCCTTAAGGGGACCCCATAAAAATTTTTTACCCCAGGGTGAAAACGTCATGGGGCCCCGATTTGACTCGGGGCACTATCATGTTTTTATCCCCTAAAACTCTCGTAGTATGGAGACAATGCCCTTTACTCGAGTTTCTAAATGAGCTGTGGCACATGAATCCCCGTAGAAAGCCCTTTTCCACTTATTCTTCTTAGAAGCCATCTCTTCACAGCTGTGAATTCGAATAAGATGGCCGTGGGAAAAGTACCCCACCACCCTAAAGGTGACGTACATTGTGAGTAACCCCTAGGGTGCGCGGGGTCGCTTTCGTTCACGGCCCTCTGAC